TATCAAATGTGATAAGATTTAAATTAATTTATAAGAAAGATATTGTACTATATATATATATATATATATATATATATATATATATATATATATATATATATATATAATAAATCATCTTTTGTTCCCTTCCCAAGAATTACAAGCTCTCTCTCTCTCTCTCTCTCTCTCTCTTGCAGTCAAGACTTCTTCTTTCTTTAGAAAAAGGCAACCTGCAGCCTACCGATGGAACAAAAAGGACTCACCACATCACCTCTGTGTCTTTTTACAATTTACAACCTTGTCTGGATTGGAGACATAGAGACGGAGATAGAAGGAATGATGTGCTTCTTGTAAGAGAGGGGATGGTGGGGGAAATGGGAGGATTAACTTGACTCCTCGTCAGACAATTACTTGCCTTATTCTTCTGCTCCTTTCTCTACACCCCCCATCCCCCTACCATTCATTTCCCGAAGCTCTCGAAAAACTCAAATTGATAGTATCTTCTCTTCCATCTCCCTGGCTCCCATGGTATCCTCGAAACCCAAGTAAGCATCCTCTTCTAAAGCGATCTCTCAGAGCTTCTCCCTCTAATCCTCTTGTTCTTCTTCAAGCTGCCATCTTTCTCAGTTGTTTATGGTTTTCTTATAGCATTCGCGTCAGGGTTTTGGCTCAAATATGGCAGTTTTTGTCTTAAAATGTTTGCTTGGGAAAGTCGATCTGTTTCTGTTCTGTGTTGTTTGATTTTGTGAACGAGCTGCAAATTTTAGCATATATGATCAGTACCTGCACCTGCTGCATTCTGTTGTTAATCTGGATGATCGTGACTAATTGTGCCTAATCTGAATATGGTGTTTGTAGGCCATTGCTTTTGCTGGTTACCTGGCGATTTTAGCATCTTTTTATTGTTTACTATTGCTTGTTCTTCTTCAAACTGCCATCTTTCTCAGCATTTTAGGATAGCATTTTGCTTCAGGGTTTTGGCTCAGATATGATGCATTCTGTCTTCAAATTATTGGTCCATTTCTGTTGTGTCTTGCTTGATCATGCGGTCAAGCAATTTTTAGCCTCTGTGTGTCAATAGGCCTTCACCTGCTGCAATCCGGTTCTTGTGAATTTGGATGCCCTTGACTAATTAATTGTGCCTGATTTGAATGTGGTTTTTCTAGTTACCGCATTGGTTTCACTGGTTACCGCAGGGTTTAAGCATCAAGATGCTTCTTTTATTGTTTACTATTGCATTTGCACTTGATTTGTGTATTTAATTCTCTTTGGCTAATAAGTTTACCGAATATGATTTTAGTTTACTAAATCTATGACTTAGTTTCTTCTTTGCTTCAGTAGATCTGATTTTGCTGTGGAGTCTATGGTAGAGATACTGATACATGTAAATGTAGAATAATAATCTGTATATGGGATTATCTTGCATTGCTTTTCTCATGTTGTGGTTTAATGATGTGGGTGTGTAAGAAAGCCTTGATATATCTGATCTTAAACAGATCCAACCTATCTGTGGCTTCAAACGGCAACACGACACCAGCAAAATCCAAGGGTAGCAAAGTAGTCTGGAATGGATCTACCGAGTCAGCATCTGTCTGGTTCACCTTCTCCAGTGAAAAGGGCACCTTTTTTTTGCCAAATGTATCTTCACCTGTGCTGAAGTCATCTTCTCCTGTGCCAAAGCCACACACTTTCTTGAAGCGACCACCAAAATGGGTGGAGTCCAAGCAACCAACTAAGACCAGCACAAGTCCTGAAGTAGGAATGCAAAACATCGCATGCTAGGCCCAGGTCTTCTTGTCTGCTGATTCTTTTTCGGTGTCTTTTTTTATTGTTTTAAGATCATAATCTTGGTTGTAGAACCCACAACGAACATTGAAAGGCTCAGAGCTACAAGAAAAGTTGGATGCCATTGCTGAAGATTTAAAGAAAGCAAGAGCGCAATTGGCTTTTGTCGAGCTGGAGAAGGTCCAGGCTATCGAGGAGTTGAATGAAAGCTAAGAGATTGGCCAATGAGACAAATGAGAAACTCGAGGCCGCAATTGTTTCTAAGAAGATGATTGAGGATCGCTTGGAGGTTGAGAAGGTTCGGGCCGATGAGTTGGAACAAGAGAGCATTGAAGGTGCACGAAAAAGGGAGGAGGAGCATCAAAAGGAACTCGAAAGCGTCCGAAATCAACATGCTCTGGATGGTTCAGCGCTGCTGTCGATGACTCAGGAATTCCAAAAAGTGAAACTTGAATCAACTAATGCCAACATTGCAAAGAACACTGCCCTGAGCAAAGCGGATGAAGCAAACAAGATTGCTGAAACGAATGGACAAAAGGTGGATATCTTGTCCAAAGAAGTGAGCCATTTGAAGTCCTTGTTTGATTCCAAGCTGGATAATGTAAACAAAGAAGCAGTAGCGATGATTAGACAGTTGAATGGGTTTGATTTTGTGTTCCTTTATAATTAGATAAGATATATAATATAACTAATTGGATTCTATTAAAATATTTTAGTCAATAGAATAAAAATCCATTTAAAGTAGGATTCTTTATAAGATAACATTGATGGGAGGAAATCTCCTAATATTTTATCCTTAGACCCTCTGCTCTCGTCTATAAGTAGACAGGACCTCTAGGGACTGAGGGCATGCACAGATGTACGTCTCGCACATCTCACAGTGAATATAGTTGAGGGATTACAGTTTTTCTCTTAACTCTCTCCCTAAACCATCAATCTAGGTGATATCAAAAGATACGCATTGTTAAACTAGATCTAAGTATTTGATTTCAATCCTGGCATAAAGATTATTTTTATACGACGGTCGACCGCACGCAAGCAAATAGCCCAAGCGACGGCCGCCGTGCGTGGGTAGGCCGTGCACAGGCAACGGTCGTTCGCTAGCAACAGCCACGCGCGGGCAGGAAGCACCGCAGCGGCAACGATCGCGACCGTGCGTGGGCAGAGGCAGCCCCGCTGCGGTAGCGGCAGCGGCCGCGCATTGGCAATAGCCGCGGCCAGCCGTGCGCGCCGTCCGCATGCAGGAAAGGCCACAGCGGCCGCGCCGCACGCATAGTCATGAACAGCCGCAGTGGTCGCGCGCGAGCAACGACAGCGACGCACGCGTAGGCGGCGGCGACGGCAAGGCAGATTAGGGTTTTGAAATAATTATGGTTTTGCCCTCGAGGCTAGGGTTTTATAAAATTACATTTCTGCACCTTGTAAATTTCGTAATTTCAGTTTATGTTCTATCAATATATTTACAGTTTTACCCTCGGGTCTGATTTCTATCAAATTACAATTTTACCCCTCATAAAATCGCATATTTCTGATTTATATCCTATCAAATATTTACAGTTTTATCATTATGAAATTAAGAAATTTAGTTTATATTCTCAATTATAAAATTGATAAATATGATTTATTATAATTATGATTGAATTTAATCATGATTATATTTTAACTATTTAATTGAAATTAATTTTTAATTAAAAAAATATAAATTATGGTTTGGTTTTATAGTTTTCTCATATGAATTATTGATTATACATGTGGTAAATAAAATCAAAATCCAATTATTGTTCTTAAAATTTTATTTACTTATTCGTATGTATATATTTGAAATTGTGAAATAATGTTTACCTTTTACATGAAGACATGATTTATATGTTATCATGATTATCATATGAGTTTTTTTTTACGATTAATATTCAATAATTATTATGATTATTATTCTATTATTTAACTGCTTAGTATTAATGTTCAATAATTATTATGGTTGTTATTCTATTATTGAACTATTTAGCATTAATATTCAATAATTATTATGGTTGCTATTTTATTATTGAACTGCTTA